TTTGGGGTTGGCCGTGAAGGCATTTCTACGTCGAACTGGGACAGCGGCGATGGAGACAAGGTGTGGGATCACCACCTTTCCGCCACTCTTCGCTTGCCTTTCTCTTGGCTAGTCTCCGTCTCTAAGTCTAGATTTTGGATCGTCTGGCGTTGGTGAGGTTGAGGCGAATCGAATGGTTTGTGTTTCGATTTATTTGCCCTGGGTTCGGAGTGGCGGTACTTGTTGCATGGAATCATAGTTGGATCAGAAGTGCACCACCTGTGGCGAGCAAAATTCGGCGAGACCACAATACGTAAGTAGAGTTCTACCCCTTGCTGCTGAGGGAACCCTTCGGTCGTTACACCCCCTCCATTTCCTGCTGAACAACGTTTTGCCCCGTCTTCGGCGCGCTCGTGGCCCTGCAGCAGCTGGCCTATGATCCCGAAAGACAAGAGGCACAATTTCCTAGGCAGCGAAAGGGAGGAAGCGGGAGCGACACTAGTAGCAGCTTCCACGCGTTCTTGTCGAGACAGAACAAGTTGGAGACCGACAAGTTGAAGCACATCGAGCAAATTCAGGCAAGATATGTGGTTGTTGTTATTTGAGAAAGAGCAGCAGCCGTGCGTGACGACAACCAGATCAACGACATTCCATAACAATATCAACGGCAACGACCTTGAGAGAAGGCAAACAAACAACTTGACGTTTGAATTCCACGAAAATAACAATGGTGGTATTGAATGAAACATTTCAGGTAATGCGACAGCACACTTTCCAACCCGAGATATGCGCCGAGAGTTCCAAGATCCATAAGGAGAGCAACAAAGGCGATTTCCTCCAGAGGGTGGCCAGGGACGCAGCTCGGAAGGAACACGAGGCCGTCAGGCAGAAGGTGACCAAACAGTTCGTATGCGTATCTCCAACCCAAACTCGGCCGACAAGACGAGAGCCTCCAAGAAAGGGTAGCTAAAACATCAGAGAAAAACGTAAGGTATCTACTGTAGAACCGTTTTAAAGAACTTTCAATCAAGCAAACACAAAGCACAACCCGATTGAACAGACACATGTGCTGCCACATTCGGTACCACTGGTATTCTGGGTGGCATCATCCTGCATACGTGGATGATCTGTTAGACGGCCGAAAAGCTCGTCGAGCAACTAGGGTATTACGCTAGACAGATCCAAGCTGCACATAGAGGTATTCCGCTAATAGCTGGATATTGTGGCTCCCTAGCTCGACCAATATGACATGTAGTCTTCCTCTTCTGGTCCTCAGGGCAAAAAACATATTTTTGACAATCGCCAAGCTCGCTCACACAAAACGGCACCATACTTTCAACAACTAGCCGAAAAGCAGACTTCTCTCCTTTTTTCTATGACGGGATAGGTTCTTCGTCGTCACAAGTCATAGGACTGGTTGCTTTTCGCCCGACGATGTGAAGGAATGCTTACAGACCGTTTGTGATCCGCAGCTGATGCGGAAACCGTTCGCCGACGTAAAGATGTTTGTTTTGTCGATGCTCGAGTGTGGACCTCGATAAGCTGTGCACCGCATGTCGCAGCGTGTTCCCAACAACCGTTTCTGATGTTGCGGTTCCTTGCGCTTGGATACCATCCCCGACGTCAAACCTTGCCTTCGCCTGCTCTTGACCTTGACTCTAAACTTGGCGTATGATGTCGTCACCCATGAAACAAACTCATCCATGCTCACGTTATCGTCGCCCTCGTCGTTGTCCTTGCCGTTGTCCATATTTCAATCTTGCACCACGTTGCTCAGGCTGCGGGGTTGCACGATCCTGACTGCACGTTCAAGCCACAGATCACGGCTCGTTCTGCTACTCTTCAAGCGAGGAGTGTTGTGGAACTTAGCAGAGGAGACCAGCTCAAACGGGAGACTACTCAACGTCTCAGCAGGCTCAGGGCAGAGCAGGTACCGCATCGCTACAAATGACTGACTGGCTTAGAAGAACCTCGATTGAAGCAGTCCAAAAGCAAGTTACCCAGCGGGAGACGGAGGATGTGTATCTCGGACCTGTGTTGTTCATGTTCCGTGCTTGAGGTTCTCAGTCATTGCCGACATGCTAAATCATAATCTTGATTTCGGCCAATCAAAGGTTTTGCTTCAACCCGCAAATAATTACCATACGTATTTCCAGGAGCTGCTGGCAGACACAACATTTCGACCTAGGATCAATGCCGATGCGGCTTCACGGATGGCCGTCTCAAAGCTAAAGGTAGTCTCCGACCCCGACAACTACATCGCTACCGTTGAGGTACGTCCGTTTGAGGGCCGTTGGCGATCTAAGCCTTGCCCCGGACATTTTCGAGGCAGCCCTGTACAAACGTTGCTGAGTGCGTATCACACACCATTGGTTTGTCCACCCTCATAACATTACGAGTAGCATTTGCCCCCATACTAGTGACCTGCTTCTGTAAGTGTCATGTTAAATGGTTTGCTCTGTTGTGGCCAAACCAAGTCATTCATGTGAGATTCCGCCCGGGCCCGGTATTCATGCTCATTGTTTTCTAGCCCTGTAGTCTAACCGTACCTGTGCCGCAATAGCCTGAGCTAAGCTGGACTGGAGGGGGGCACCGAGAAAGCAGAGAAGGACATGCGCGATGCCAGCAGCGAAATAGGCAGTCAACGAAAGCACAGCAAAATTCTATGAACACATCTCTCAACACGAGATGTACACACGCACTTACCTTTATTTCCTATATATCGCCGTTTTCCCGACGCCTTGAATACACAATAGAGAGGGCATTCGCAGATGTTACATCGCAAACAATACGGACCCTGATGTCCATGTACGCCAATAAACGCGGTTTCACTGGGGCCTTGAGAAACCCGACGGACGCGTTTGTTTTTTCTCCATCCGCTCGTTCGTTTCGTTGTTGCAGACGCTAAGAAGGCGAAAGGAAGAGTCGGTTGTGAAGGGGGCCATCGAGAGGGCGGCAAAGGAGGTAGAAGGGTGCACCTTCAAACCCGAAACCACGGCGTGTCCGGCCTACATCACGGTGAGAATGAGAATGAGAATGAGAACGAGAACGAGAACAAAATGAACGAACTTCTACCAAACCTTGAGCCAGTCAACCCCAAACGAGGACGAGGGCATCCGCTCAGGTGCAGTCCGTCGCGATGTGTCCGCCTTTATACCCGACGAAGAACATCACCAGTTTGCTCTCCGGACGGCGCGTATGTTTAAGGAAGTTTCATCACACGGCATTGAGAGGCATAGTCTAGAGGGCATGACAAGAGGAATCTCGGATACTCCAAGAAGAGGTCAAACGCATGCCACAAGTTTGTAAGGGTCGGTCCCGATGATCCTTTGCTCTCAGGGTAGGACTCTACTCACGCGTGTTTCCGACCTAGTTGGTGTTAAGGATCGGCTCACCTACAGTACAAGCAACACCATCTCGGAGAGTGGACAACCAATGACTTGATTGTCTACTCTCCGAGACCACTGACCCTCATGAAGTTGGCCCTTGCTCCCCTCTTCCAAGTCTTTCTTTCTGATGCTGGCTTGACATCTTCCCCCAACACGGAGGATACTGTGGCTGATCCCCTATGAAGGTCTCCCAACTCAAGACGTATAATTTGCATTAGTGTCCTAGTTGAGCAGGAGGAATACTGTCTCTCTGCAGTTGAAACGGTATGTACCATGGTACATAGAACATCGCGATTGACGAGAAGCTAAGCACGCAACATTGCCTCCTGATGGACAGAAGACATACACACCACCCACCCCCAGCAATGCTAAGCAGTCAAAATAAATAACAAGTTCTTACCACGACAAACACGCCTATCATGCATGTCCCCCCCCCCGGTCTTCGTATTCTCCGAGCAGAGGATCGCTCAGAGCATCTGTGCGTCGAAAGCTCTCCCCGGACCCGGCGGTGGGAAGAAACAAGTCAAGAATGCCAAACCGGATTGGCGATGACCGGCCTACCACCGGGCAGTGAAACCGACTGGACGTCTTGGACTGGGTCCCTCGACTCGAGCTCTACGGCAGCATGGACGCTACCGGTCGACCAATGGCAAAAGATGAACGTGCCAGTAGTCTAGTTGCTGTCGATCGAGTGTTGAGGCCGGTTGGAGCTCGCGCCGACTGCAGGAATGAATTAACACCAACCAACGCCGTTCAACAATGCCACTAGAAGCTGTACTTTATGTGGTATCAGGAGGAGGGCAGGGTGGTTGGAGGCCATCTACTGTAGTGCCCAGTTTGAGGATAATAAAGTTGTTGTTGTATAGGGGTCAACAGTAGTGCTCGTCTAGCAATCGACCTCGCTTGAGGACACCCCCGAAGACGTTTTGGTGTTTGGGGGTATCGGTTGGTGATGCTGCGCCGAAAACAAACAAGTGAAGTAGACTACACTTCGTGGTGTCCAAGAAAAGGGTTGCGTGGGTGTTGGTTTGAGAAACGGGGCGTGATGGGTGGGGGCCGTTGGCCGGGCACAGACGATGGCTGTGTGTGACTCTTTCCGGCACGTCTGTATGAATTAAGAAACATTTTCGGCGAACTCTTGTTTGACGGCCGCCGTGCTGATCATCACTTCTCGTCACGCTGGTGATTTTTGATGCGCGAGGGATTCGAGCAATCGCGCCTGTCGTGTTCATGACCGTGACGTTGCTCTCTTCTCGACGCCTGATGCGAGAGCTTCGGGCATAGCCGCCGCACCACTTCGTTCCAACAAAACTGTGACAATTGTCGCCATCCCCCGCTGACCGCTCTCATGAAAGCGACGTGTCATCACAAAAAGTTGTAATAGGGTCAGAGGACCTCTCACAACCGCACCGCTCACCCGCAGGACACACAAGACGGTGCGGGAGGGGGCGTCGTGAAGATCCGTGACTACAACCCTTGTCCCGCAGCCACACAGACCGATTTCATTGTTATGCCTCGTGCTAAAATCAGCTGGCTTCATCTCCCCTCCTCCGCCCGCGAACCGACAATGTATACCCCAAACCGCGCTCATCTCCTGTCCTTGTACACGAGTGCTTGAACTCTACATACACAATATAGATCACCGGACTCTCGAGCACCTCGAAGCGGACTGTGTTACGAGCGCCTGCGATTGAGAGCGGGTATCGCAATGAAGGACGGGCTCAAAATATGACCATCATCGCAGACGTCAAAAAGAACAACAAGCTCGACGGAAAAAGCTTTGATCGTCGCATTCCTTCGCAAAGCACGCGTCTTTCACCATGCCTCCCACCGGCACAGCCTGTCCTGGTCGCACAATTCCAGGTTCCCGCCTACCGACCTCCTAGCCTCCCCCTCATCCCCTCTTTGGTTCGAATCTCCTTGTCCCACGTTTCTTACCCACTCCCCCCAAATCGGCCTCCGACCGCCCCAGCCACTCCATTTTACCCCACTAGTAAGCACAGTAGATCCCTCTGACGTGGTGAAGCAAACACTACTTCCGTCCCATCTGTTTCGTGCCACAGTAGTGGTGTTCGCTCATCGTATGCACACTATCCTGCAACGCATATCTACTCGTTGACCAACGCTGAAGGTCCCGACAATCCTACTTCAGTGCCGGGTGCTGTTTGCCGCCAGACATCGTTTGCCCACACACATTATATTGGTACGCTCTTTTGCTGCTGTCACAGGACATGTTTGTCTCTAAAATACGCAAAGATTTCCCCCCGAATGTTCACTCACACCATAAATATCCTTCCTCCCCAACACTGAAAATTTGCCCCCACTCCTTCCTCTCTCCTCCTGTCCCCGTGACGTACATTGATCGGTAGATTTTGCCACGTGTCGTCGATGCATGCATAGACCCGACCGCGAAGCAAACCAAAAAGGTTTGATTGAAACTATGCCGCCGTCTGAGCAACCGGAGTATTTCCACACTTCCTTCGTTGCTTTACGCAAACAAGGACTTGCACATCGATTCGTTTCCCAATCCCCCCCCGAAAACATTCTTCAGTTGCTTGGCCTGCCGAAAATTGCATGTAAAACTGCTGTATCCTCTACACGACAAGCTAGTTGGTCTGGCGTGTGGCTGATGGAAGCCCAGCCTGTTTAATGTTTATGCTTACAACACACACATACACCCACCCGTTGCTGCCAAAAAAAGCTAATCTGTCCACCGAGTTGGTACCTAGATAGAACAGAACGAATCACACGACCCCACCACAGTCCCGCGTTAAACGGGGGGGGAGGGGCGTGGCGGCAATGATAGAATGGTGCTCTCACTCTTGACAAGAAATAAGACTTAGAACGTGCTTTCGTCGTTCAGCCGGTTAACGAGGTATTAGCAACTATGTAAAAGACTACGCACAGGTACGGACGAAAAACCATCGTAAAAAAAAGAGAACAACGTCATACCCTTCCCCGTCGACACGCTCAAAGGCGGTGTCATCCATAGCGTATAAAATACTCGACACTAGTCAACAAGTTTTCCTTTTGCACCATTTCAGTTTTGACGCCTGAAGTTCGAACAAGCCGCAGCCAAAGCATAGCAACGAGGGCCTGGTGGGCTCATAGGAATCGACCGTTGGTAAACCGTAGCGTGAGGGCAAACCTCTACTTGAATCCAAACAAAACCGGCCACGAACTACGTCATTCACCATCATGCGTTTGAGGTGCACCTATGCTACATCATAAGCTCCGCCCACTGCCTGTGCACGAGATATAATCCACAAACGAATAAAATGTTTACATTCGACAGGTTACCCACGTGGGGTACAAAAGTGGGTCCGCGAAGCAAGGCCTACACGTGCCTCGCTCCCTACCCTCTGTCGCTCCATGAATCAAAATAATCAGGGTTCGAAAAGCATGTCAATGTAATACAGCAGCTGTCCGGAGTCTCGATGGCTTTCGCGTAGATTGCTTGCAACAGGCGGCAAGGCGAGGATATGAAGACATCCCTAGAGTCAAAAGCACTTATTGATCAGTCCCAATCTTAACAAAATGGTACGTGCCCAAGATGGCCTCCTCCCTTCCCCAAACAAGGTAATACTCCCCGATTCTCATCCGCGTGCGTGCACGATGTTGCGTATGCGCAAAAGGAGCAAAGACTCCTCTTGCCTGTTGCGTGTGCTTGTGCCCTTTGTCTATTGTACTCTCTGACAGCCTGTTGAGACTTACTTTCCCAAGCAAGGGTGGAGGAAGCAACATGCGTAGTGCACCAGACCTGACATATCATACGTACATAAAACCTCACATAAATCGTGTTTTGGGGGTAATCCTCGATCTCACTTCTCACATGCATAGGCGTGGGCTGGTTCGAAGCTGCACCAAGGTTCCACTGCCCTCATCGTGCTGGTCGAATAGATAAGCCTTGTTCGCTGTGGCACGTTCATTGATGAAACATTCGATACAAACGGCATCATGCTCATGCTTGCCGTGTTTGCTGTCGTTTGTGACTGGTGCTCTGCACCCTGTTGTTACCCTCGTGCTCGCTGCGAGCGTGAGCGGTGTTTGTCTCGTTGCTTACATCGTGTTGTCTTCAGTTCAGCGTTTGGGTGCCCTCATACCTGTTGAGGGAGGACGGCAGTGGTCCATTGACGCGTGCGGGGTGGGGTGCGAGGGATCAAAGTTATGTCTCATGCTTCAAAGAAGCGGTCCAAAGTACTTGAAAGAAGACAAAACGGTATGCAACTACACGGAACGATGGTGTCCTATCATCTTTCAAAAGTCATATTTCTTGCCAGCTGTGGGGTCCGGCATGTCGTCGTGGGACCGCCGCCCGGCGTTCCTGGCCCTGGCCCTCCCGAACTTGAGTTGATGGAACCTTGTTATAATATCGCGAAACAGCGGGTCCGACAGTAAAAACACGAGAGTGCGAAACCGAAAGGGCACGGCGGGCGAGACATGAAAGGGCACGTTTGTTTAAGGCGTAGACAAAGGCGTAGACGGAAGAAACCGAGGTTTATTGAAACAGCTCGACTTGCCATACTGTTGATATTGGGGTACCCGGAACGTATTGTGTACTGCGGGGCCCCCTCGGTCGATAGGAGGAGTCGCATGTGTTACCATTCTGTTCAAGCCTTGTGTCCACAGAGTCTTAGCGTGCCAGAGGGAGAGTACCGCAGAGGCAACTAGCGAGGTGGTCACATAGAAGGCTTCTAGTGGTGTACCGGCCTCTGGAGCTGACAGGAAGTAGAGTCTTTTCTTGCCTCCTCTTCCAGTTGAGGAATCGGGCCACAGCAGTCGTACCTGAGAACCCGGGGTCCCGAGATGACGAGAGCGGAGAGGAGAGCAAATACGCCAGGCGCCGGTAGGCGTGGCATCTAGGGCGCAACACGGAGCGGTACGTGTGGTGATGTGATGACAACGTGGGAGAGAGATGATGTGGGAAGAAAGCAAAACCCACAATGCGTTTTGGTGTGTCAGGCAGAGACACAACCCCAACGGAGTGTTCTGCACGTTTGCATGGGGAGAGAGATACCACTGTCCCACTTCTGCTGGGTTGATTCGATGGCGTACACAATCACCCATGTCGCACGTGATTCAATGACTAAGCACATCAACCGGGTTTGGTGGCCGAGGTTGGTGGGCCTGCTTCGTCAGCGCTGGCTGTCACGGCTGTTGCCACCGTACGAAGGTTACGCAGTCATCTGGATTAAGTATGCATACACTCTGCAAATACAGCAGTTGTTCTGTATCGATGCGGTAGAGAAAATTATTTGTGGGTTCTGTGGCGTTACACTCACCATATTAGCGTGGTTTGAATACCGGCTCCGCATCCAACGAGTGTGTGGTGGCCACAGCCAAGCAAGACAATACCCACAAACTATTGTTTGGTGTCGATACGCTATGGAAGTACATACACCAATGCTGGATCACATGGTGTGCTGTAAACGAGTGTATCACATGGACTATTCTGGCCTCAGATATGCGTTGCAGTCGTTGTGGATCACATGGTGTGCAGTACTCGAGGGCGTATCACATGGGTTAACCTGGATTCAGATTTACGGTGCAGGGTCGTTAAAAGCTAGAGATTATGCAGTTGCAAGTGAAGTATGTGGACGATACTTACAAAATTACAACACACACAATTGTTGGAGAATTGCCGTGAGAATCGAGACCCGATTCGACGGAATACGTTAAAAGTCCTCCCAGAGTACATACAATTGTACTGAGAAAGTTGCTGGGGAGCATCAAGCACACCTTGACGCCAGCACGTTCGTGATTTATTAGCGATCAGTCGATCGCGGTATGATCATGAGTATGCATACAACAAGTATTAAATGCTGGAACCACACACACAAATAGTTTGTGGTGGCCGTGTTTGGTGGGCTTTTTTTCGAAACAGCGCTACTTACCAGGGTGGTTGCCTGAGTGCCGATTCACGCACGAATAGAGAGTGTGAATGCCGGAAACACACACATGAAACGTGTGTGGCGGCCGTGGTGGTGGGCTTGTTTTCGCAACAGCGCTACTTACCAGGGTTGTTGTCTGTGGGGCGATTCACGCATGAAAAAAGATGAGTTGTTGTTGTTGTTGTTGTTCTTGTTTCTCACATTAGCTCTATAGTCCACAAAAAATGGGGAGCCCGTGGTCTCAAAACCCGGCACATACGACGCCGCGAGAAAACAAAAAAATAAAAATAGGATACAAACCACTCGGAAAAAGAAAACAAAATGATCGAAAAAAAAATACAGGTATCGCACCTACCGTTCGAGAAAGGAGCCCTCGGACACTGAGTATGAATGCCGGAAACACACACACAAATAGTGTGTGGCGGCCGTGGTGGTGAGCCTGTTGTCGAAACAGCGCTACCTACCGGTGTTGATGCCTTTGTGGCGATTCACGCATGAAAACAGAGAGTGTGAATGCCGGAAACACACACACAAATAGTATGTGGCGGCCGTGGTGGTGAGCCTGTTGTCGAAACAGCAAAAATACAGGTATCGCACCTACCGTTCGAGAAAGGAGCCCTCGGACACTGAGTATGAATGCCGGAAACACACACACAAATAGAGTGTGGCGGCCGTGGTGGTGAGCCTGTTGTCGAAACAGCGCTACCTACCGGTGTTGATGCCTTTGTGGCGATTCACGCATGAATACTGAAGAGTATCAATGCCGGAAACACACATCCCAATAGTATGTGGCGGCCGTGGTTGGTGAGCCTGTTGTCGAAACAGCGCTGCCTACCGGTGTTGATGCCTTTGTGGCGATCCACGCATGAAAACAGACAGTGTGAATGCCGGAAACACACACACAAATAGTATGTGGCGGCCGTGGGTGGTGAGCCTGTTGTCGAAACAGCGCTACCTACCGGTGTTGATGCCTTTGTGGCGATTCACGCATGAATACAGATGAGTATGAATGGCGGAAACACACACACAAATAGTATGTGGCGGCCGTGGTGGTGAGCCTGTTGTCGAAACAGTGCTACCTACCGGTGTTGTTGTCTGTGGGGCGATTCACGCATGAATACAGATGAGTATGAATGGCGGAAACACACACACAAATAGTATGTGGCGGCCGTGGTGGTGAGCCTGTTGTCGAAACAGCGCTACCTACCGGTGTTGATGCCTTTGTGGCGATTCACGCATGAATACAGATGAGTATGAATGCCGGAAACACGCACACAAATAGTGTGTGGCGGCCGTGGTGGTGAGCCTGTTGTCGAAACAGCGCTACCTACCGGTGTTGATGGCTTTGTGGCGATTCACGCATGAAAACAGAGAGTGTGCATGCGAGAAAAACACACACAGCAAAAAGAGTGTGGCGGCCGTGGTGGTGAGCCTGTTGTCGAAACAGCGCTACCTACCGGTGTTGATGGCTTTGTGGCGATTCACGCATGAAAACAGAGAGTGTGCATGCGAGAAAAACACACACAGCAAAAAGAGTGTGGCGGCCGTGGTGGTGAGCCTGTTGTCGAAACAGCGCTACCTACCGGTGTTGATGGCTTTGTGGCGATTCACGCATGAAAACAGAGAGTGTGCATGCGAGAAAAACACACACAGCAAAAAGAGTGTGGCGGCCGTGGTGGTGAGCCTGTTGTCGAAACAGCGCTATTTACCGGTGTACCGGTGTTGATGGCCGTGGTGGTGAGCCTGTTGTCGAAACAGCGCTACCTACCGGTGTTTCACACACACAAATAGAGTGTGGCGGCCGTGGTTGATGGGCTTGTTTTTGCAACAGCGCTACTAACCAGGGTGGTTGCCTGTGTGGCGATTCACACATGAATACAGATGAGTATGAATGCCGGAACCACACACACAAATAGAGTGTGGCGGCCGTGGTGGTGAGCCTGTTGTCGAAACAGCGCTA